AGATTTGAGGTTAAAGGTCATAAGCTATCCCACCAGCTGGCAAAGTGTATGAAATTTCTTTAATTCACAAAGAAAGCCTTGCTAAAGTCATCTTTAGTGTAGGTCTAGTAATACATTGCCTTAATTGAGCGTGGCTACGAAGTTTATGATTCTTAAGTAAGCTCCAACTATATATATATCAATTTTATTTCAGATAATATTTTCATTAATGGATTAATGAAAAAAATTGTTGTATTAACATTCTTATTGCCGAGTTGAAGTGAAAGGATAAAAAGGATAAAATCTATAATTTAATTTTTTTTTTTAAAAAAAAAAAAAATAGTTGTATTATTTAAAATTAAAAAAAATTAAGATTTCATACAGCCTTCATATAGCCAATATAGGACAGCCGAGACAAAAAAAAAATGCCACTAGCGATCGACCTTATAGTCATATGATAGTCACATGCTAGAAGCGTTAAAGTTGCTAGTTATTCATATATCAACAACATATTCAAAATATATTATTCGTATATCAACAACAGCATTCAAAATATGTTATTCATATAACAACAGCATATTTGAAATATATTAACAACGTATTCAAAATATTCACTATATCATTAGTTTAAGTACATGTTTTAACATACTTTGAAAATATTGTAAAAATATTTTATTCATATTACAAAATTATTTACTACATTATATTAGTTTAAGTTTAAATTTTAACATATATTAAAAATATTATAACATTATTTTATTAATATTACAAACATATTGCGTATATTAAAATATGTAGAACATATATATACCATCTGTTAGTAACATGTAGTGATTATGTCTAACATATTTTGTGAAAACCAGGGGTTTCTGCAAAGTATGGGCAGATATACTTTGATCGGAATGTCGATCATTTGCCAAAATTTAATGTTAATTCCGGAAAAATGATATCAAAAGATAAAAAAGATAGCCATATATGATAAATAAATAAAACGAATCAGCGGTTTAACCCGGTTGAATATAACCGAATATTCGGTTTAAACCGGTTTAAATATAACCGGTTTACATTCGATTATATCATTTCGAATTGGTTTAAAACCGATTAGTAAAAATCAAACGGGTTCTAACCTCTAGTTAGGATGACTAGAAATAACTAATCCTTTAAACGGTCAAATGACCAGGTTATTTATTATACAAATACGAGTCATACTTTTTAGTGAGATCGTATAAAATAAAGCCATATCATAAATACTTAGTCTATACTTTTCATTTTTAAAATATTTGATAGAAATAAAATAATGAAAATACGCTAATTAATACTTGAATAATGGAAATACGCTAATTAATATTTGGTAGAAATAAAATAATGGAAAACGCTAATTATTTTATTCGGTTTTTCTTAATTTTATTTTCAAAAAGTATAAATATGCAACGTAGTAAATTGTTGTATGTACTTTATAAGATTAACAAGCGTAAAAAAAAGATTACTAATATAAATTTCGGTTATTTAATATAAAAGTAAATAATACTATTCTGTTTCTTTATCTTGTTCGTATAATGCTGAAAGAATTTCGTGTGCATCATTGTTTCCTCCTTCAGCTGCTTCTTTATATAAATTATGGGCTTTCTTTTCATCACAATCAACTATAATTCCATGAAGAAAATAATGTGCAAGTTTGTATTTTCCATATATACATCCACTTTTGGCTGCTTGTTTATAATAATAAAACGCTTTAATTTCACTTATATTAACTCCTTTCCCTAATTCATAACTTTCTCCTAATTTATATAATGCGCTACTTTTATTTTCTGCTGATTGCTGATACCAATGCTTAATATCAAATAACTCTCTCATTATTTCTTCTTCATTTTTATGAAATGATCCATTAGGGTTTATTGTATCACTACTTATATCATTACTTTCTTTTAAAACCGCTTCATCATATAATTCAAATTCTTTCTTCTTATCGTTTTTTGTTCCACTACTAATATCATTACTTTCTTTTAAAACCGCTTCATCATATAATTCAAATCCTTTCTTCTTATCGTTTTTTGTTCCAATTCCATTTACATAACAATATCCAAGATGAAATTTCGCATTAACATATCCTATTTCAGCCGATTTTTCATAATATTTAAATGCTTTAATCTTATCTTTATTTACGACTATTCCAAGTTCATAAAATGTACCCAAGTTATCATATGCGTACTTATCTCCATTTCCTACTGCTTTTTGAAACCAATAAATGGCCAATTTCATATTTTTTTTAATTCCTTCTCCCTTAACATATAATAACCCAAGAATATTTTGTGCGTATACATACCCATTCTCAGCTGATTTTTTATAATATCCAAAAGCTTTAATTTCATTTTTATTGGTCCCTATTCCGAATTTGTAACAATTACCTAAAAAGTATAGTGCTACTTTATCTTCATTTTTTGCTGCCTTATTATACCAGTAAATAGCTTTTTCTAAATCCATTTCTGTACCCTCACCATTCTCATACAATAATCCTAAATTAACTTGTGCCAAACTAACACCTTTTTCAGCTGCTATATTATATAATTCATATGCTCTTCTTTTATTAATTTCTGTTCCAATTCCTCTATCATAACAACATCCAAGTTGAAGTTGAGCATCAAAATATCCTTGATTAGCTGACTTATTAAAATACTCAAAAGCTTTTCGTTCATCTTTCTCAACACCTTCTCCAAATTTATATGAAATCCCGAGATTGTATTGGGCAACTTTACATCTTTTTTCAGCCATTAGTTTATATAACTCAAATGCTTTAGATTTATTAATTTCAGTTCCAATGCCATCTTTATAACAATATGCAAGTTCAACTTGAGCATTAAAATAACCTTGATTGGCTGATTTATTATAATACTCAAATGCCTTAGCTACATCTTTTTTGACCCCATTTCCATTTTTATAGCAATTACCTAGATTATATTGTGCAACCTCATATCCATTTTCTGCTGCTTTTTTATACCAATAAATAGCTTTTTTTGAATTTTTTCCAGCACCTTTATCATGAAAATATCGAAATCCAAGATTATACTGAGCTAAATAATTCCCTTTTTCGGCTGCTATTTCATATAATTCAAATGCTTTAAATCTATCTGTATGAGTTCCAATTCCATTAAAATAACAATATCCACATTCAAACTCGGCATCTAAATATCCTTGATCAGCTGACTTTTTATAATATTCAAAAGCTTTATATTTATCTTTACTTACACCTTTACCATTTTTATAACAATTACCCAAATTATATTGTGCTAATTTACACCCATTTTCAGCTGCTTTTTTATACCAATAAATAGCCTTTTTTAAACTTGTTTCTGTACCTTCACCATTTTCATATAAAATTCCAAGGTTGCTTTGTGCATTTCTTTGTCCACTTTTTGCGGAAATATTATATAATTCAAATGCTTTCACTTTATTAATTTCAGTTCCAATTCCTTTATCATAACAATATCCAAGTTCAAATTTAGCATCTAAATATTCTTGATTACTTGATTTTTCGTAATAATCAAAAGCTTTTCTTTCATCTTTTTTTATACCTCTACCATTTTTATAACAATTGCCCAGATTATATTGTGCTTCTTCACACCCGCTTTCTGCTGCTTTATTATACCAATAAACAGCCATTTCTAAGTTTTCTTCTGTACCTTCACCATTTTCATATAAAATTCCAAGATTACTTTGTGCATTTCTTTGTCCGTTTTTTGCAGCAATTTTATATAATTTAAATGCCTTTACTTTATTGATTTCAGTTCCAATTCCTTTTTCATAATAATATCCTAGCTTAAATTGAGCGTTTAAATACCCTTGATCAGCAGACTTTTTGTAATATTCAAATGCCTTAACTTCATCTTTTTCAATTTCATAACAATAACCTAGATTATATTGTGCTTCTTTACATCCCATTTCTGCTCCTTTTTCATACCAATAAACAGCCTTTCCTAAATTTCTTTCCACACCTTTGCCTTCACTATATAAATTTCCAAGAGTATTTTGTGAAAGTCTATGCCCCTTTTTGGCAGCAGTTATATATAATTCAAATGCTTTTGTCATATTTGCTTCGACTCCAATTCCATTATTATAACAATATCCGAGCTGATACTGTGCATTTATACACTCTTGTTCAGCTGATTGTTGAAATAACTTAAAAGCCATTTCGTTATCTTTTTCTACACCTTCGCCATTTTGATAACAAATACCTAAATTACATATTGCGAATTTATTTCCATTATTTATTGCTTCATTATACCAATAAATAACTTTTTCTAAATCTTTTTTCGTTCCGATTTCATTTTTATAACAATCACCTAACATATTTTGTGCATTTGAGTACCCCTTTTCAGCAGATTTAAGATAACATTCAAAAGATTTCTTATCATCTTTATTTATTCCTATACCGTTTTGATAACAAAGACCTAAATTATATTGTGCATATATATCTTTATTGGAAGCTTTTAAATACCATTCAAATGCTTTTTTCTCATCCTTATTTATTCCAATTCCATTTTGATAACAATAACCTAAATTATTTTGTGCACAAGAATTTCCTCTTTCTGCAGATTTCAAATAAAATTCAAATGCTTTAAATTCATCTTTCTTTTTCCCTATTCCATATTGATAGCATAAACCTAAATTGTTTAATTCTATTAATCCTTTCTTTTTATCATAATCTAATTGATTTTCGTTTAAATATTTTTCTTTTGATTCAAAATATTCTTCTATAACATCTATTTCATCTTTACAGATATTTATCACTAAACCATTAAAATCTTCAAATTGCTCATGTGAAATTACGTGAACATTTTCAAAATATTTAAATTTTTTTAGAATAAAATCGTTTTTATCTAAAATAATATCTTTGTAATAATAAAATGATAATAAAAATTTTGAAATAATAATATTAAATAATTGATATTTAGAAGTCAATTCTTTGCTCTTATAATCATCATCATCATCATTATTTTTATTATTATTAAATGATAATAAATATAAATTTAATGCTTTATTTTTATCAATGACATCTATTAAATCATGTTCATAAAAATATCCTATTAAACCAGAAAACCAATTTTCATTTTCTTTATGATGTTCCATTAAATTTAATATCGTTATAAAATCTTTTTTATTATAACAAAAAAAATCTAGTACCCATTTATTTAAAATATTTTTAATAATTTCAAATTTATCATAATTTTCTAATTTTACAATTAGTTGATAAAAACTTTTTAAGAAATCTTTTAAGAAATCGTCATCATCTTTTGAAATATTATTTAATGACATTATGATTTTTTTAAAAATTTTTTTTTAGTTATAATGAAAGGGAGCTAGGGAAAAGAAAAAGGATTTTTTAAATAGGCTAAAACTTTTGTACAAAGTACTACAAAATACTGTTGGTTACACTTTAACCTAAATAAGTTAGAATTTCAATAATAACTATATAATGTATTAAAAATTGATGTCGATCACGTAGGGTGGTGACAAAAAGACACATGTAATGTACCGTATAAAATAAGTTTTTTGACCAAAAATTTCGGTATTTTTTTTTAATATAACGAAAACTTTCGTTTCCGTCACACTTCGAAAGAGTTTTACAACGTTTCACACACCTATTTTAACAACATAGTGGACTCAAACACCTTTTTAAAATAACTTTTTTATTTCCTGTTGCCCTTCGTGCTAAAAGTTAGGAACAACATTTTTTAACTGGTCTATACTCAATAGTACCGCCTATTACCCTTTACTCCCAACGAACCCGCGAAGCCTTCTCAGAATTTTACTACGACCGAAAACGATCCTTTGACGACACTACCAGTCACTCAAGCTATTCTTCGCCTTTACAAACCTTGCAATACGCATATTCTCCACACCACGTTAAAGAAATTCAACCCATAAATATCATATGATACACGCGGGAGCGGAACGTTATACAATGCTGATGTAGGCAGATACTTCCTGCTCTCGCTACATTTTCATGCAGACGAACCCCTGTCGATCAAAAACAATTTTTCAATATACACGAATGATATAGATTTATCTAAGGATCATCGTCACACATTCCCGATCAACATCTAACAAACCCAATTTTAACTTCATTTTGGGGAAATACCTCACGTTCGTATTTTCCCTTAATCACCAATTTTCCAAACAGACCGTCAACAAATACTTTAACAGATTAACGCCAATGACTACAAGAAAAATGCTTAGCCATACGTAACAGACTTTCAAGTGACAAAAAATAACAAGCGGACTAAAACGTTTATCCGCTTTAGTTCCGGAGAACACGTGAACTACTTAGGATTTTATATCCGACTGTACAATACCCCGCCCACGTAATGTCTAAAAAACCGTTGGCGATGTGAACAACATATTCAAAATGTTACTTTATACCACCGAGATGACTCTCTTGCAAAAGACCCACGATTACCAACCTAAAAAATTGTACAAAAAACAAATGAATCAAAAAATCGATTCCGCAAAGTATCAGGCAAAAGGCAAAGATATTCATTCCGACCGCCTCGGACTCAGCTATACTGTTACCATCAGAAAATATAACTCAAAGAAACAAGGACAATTTAAACCCGCTAAATAAGGCCATGGCTAATTCGACGACCACTAAAGGAAACTCAGTTAAGAAACGCGTATATTGCAAAGAATACATACTCTAATTTACGATTTGACGTCGTTCGCTCACCAAAACAGACCATAAGATAGATGGAACCGCTTAACCAGTAGCATCTTAGGACAAGACATTTGTGCAACATTAAGCCTATATCCTATATCCTTCGTCATCGGAGGTTTATAACCCTACAGTTTTTAAACAGATCCATCACTTACCCGAAAAATTCTTGTTGACAAATAAACATCCGCTTGGTAAACACTCAGCACGACCCACGGCATAATCCAGATTCTAAGAAAGACAAGCGACGCGAAAAGAACTGGTTACGTAGACAGAAAAAACGTAACAATAAAAAGAAACCTTTACCTCCGCTACCACCAGGCACCCTCGTATTTTTTATCGTGACACCTACAATATGACTGCAAAATCCGACGTCATTTCGACGTTAGCAAATTACCTCACTACAATACGGATATTACGACGCCCTTAGAATTAGACAATGGTATCTTCAAAAACAACAAACGATTATTATGGAACTAAGGCGTTACACCCAAAGCAAACGTTAGTGCGCGATTCGTCATTAATAAAAAAGACCGAGAAATTCTTAACGCTCCGGACGTTTTCTTCCGAAGAACTCCCCCTCCGGACAATACCTCACATACAACTACTAGTGATACATAATAAGTCTCGGTTGCTGCCTCTTATCTACCCGCCTACTCCAGCGCGAGATTAATTACTCCCCTTAAAAACAATTACGGACTTTTTTAATAGTATCATTCTATACCCGACAGTATTTACATATAGTATCGGCAGATAAAAGAAAAATACGGATGACTTGTTTTAGTTAGAATTCTTCATTTGTATTATTTTGTTCGCTTTCTTGTTCATTGAGATTTTACAACCTTTATTACTTTAGTCCCTCAGGGATCGCCCGCCACGGGTTCCTTTTGTTCGGTCAACCAAGGTGACATCGTCACGATAGCAGCGGTTTGGTCCATAGTTTTTGTAAAT